AGCACAAAGTTACAAAACCTTTTAGAGGTGCTACCGATGCTATGTACTTAGTCATGTTCACAAAATACTGTAGTCCCTGAAGAGTTTAGAAAGTCAGCTTTCACCTAGCTGGGCTTTCTCCTGCTGATGAAAAGGAATACTAGTTCCACAGCTAGGCACTGTGCTCAGTCTTTAATATATAGAGTGATACAGAGGTGGCAAGTGATAGGTTTTACTGCCCCAGGTAAAGCATTTAGTACTATTTGCTTGATGCAGATATCTAGCTGTGTTATTTAGTGCGTGAATCATGAAAACCACTGGTAATTGAAAAAAAAAAAAAGTAGACCACAAGAGTAAAACAATTGAAAGATTGGTATTACCTTTGGTAACTATATGTTATTTTTAATAAAAGGTATAAATCATATTGAGTAACCATGGCCCTTGGTCTGAAGGCTGGTTAGGAACACCAACCCTCCCAGTCTCAACTCAGCAGTTGCCTAACAAGTCTTCCCTCCAGCTTCCTCTGCCTGTACCCTGCACACAGACTGCTGTTTAAAAGAATCTATGTACTCACAGCTGTCCATTGACAGTCAGTATATAATGGCCCCTTATCCCAGCTAATTTTGAAACAATTAAAGAATCTTTATTGAGCATACTTTGAAAACCTCTGATTTAAGGCTCCCCCCCCCTTTATTTCAGTAGATTAAAGAACAGAAAATTGTTGTCGATGAACTTTCTAACTTGAAGAAGAATAGGGTAAGTTATTAAAGGAATTCTGAATAGTATGTGTGAGGTTTGGTTACTTGTATTACCCGTAAAAGTTCTAAGAATTATATTTACACTAAATTTTGTAAGATTTCGGCATCTTTTAAAATTGCAAAAATGAAGTGCATAGTTTGCTTGGTTGCCTCCCTTTTTTCTTTCTTTTCTTTTTTTTCTTGGTAATGTGTATATAGGTGGATCTCATATTTGAAAATATCTTTTCCTTGCCATATACTATTCATGTTATCTTTGGAAGAACAAATGATATTAATTGCACTTTGGTATCTTAGAACTATAATCGGTAATATAACTTTGTACTTGAATTTGATATTTTCTTTTGAAATAATGAACTTTAAATATATTGAAATGAAAAGAAACTACCTCTTTAAATGAGTGGTGAGTAATTGTCAAGCAAAAAAAGGATAAATCACTTCCCTTTCCCTAAAAAAGTTTTAGATAAATCTTCTAAATGCTAAACATGATTATATAATGCCATTTCCATCAGTTTATTCATAAATCACTAGCCGCTGCTTCATGTGTAGTTATACTGTGAAAAGCCACATATTAAAATTTTGGAAGAAATGATTTTGAACACTTTAAAGCATTTTAAAGATTATTTGATAACTGACAATTTTGATATTGTCACTTACGGACTATTCAAAGTTAAGGCAAATACAAACTTTCTGGAGGCCCAACTGGCAAAATGTATCAGAGCCTTAAAACTGTGTAACACTTTGAGCCAGCAATTAATTCCATTTATAGTAATTGATATACAGGACATAATGATCAGTGTGCACAAAAGTTCAGTTGCAAAGATGTTCATCACAAGGTTGATTTACAATAGTGAAGAGTTGGTAACACTTTAAATGTCTAACATTTGAGGGCTGACCAAGTAAACCATAGTATGTTATACCTCTTTACCCATTCAGTAATGTGGTAAAAGAACTTACTGATAAGAAAGTATTCTCAATATGTTGTTCAGTTATAAAACTAAATGTGTAGATATGGTAGGATCCTTTTTTGTTAAAAGAAAAATGGTATATGCAGAGGGGAAAGAGTTATAACTCAGTGTGACTAGTAGCAATTTCTGGGTGATGGGATAACAGGGAACCTTTATTTCTCTTTTTATTTATCTGTATTTGCTAAAGTGTTGTTCTGAATATATATTTCTGAAGTTCGAAAATTTTGACATCTGCTACTTTTTAGATCAGATCTTGATAATAGCCTGAATTTATTTTGCAGAAAGTATATAGGCAGCAACAGAACAGCAACATATTTTTTCTTGCAGACCGAACAGAAATGCTTTCTGAAAGCAAAAGTAAGTTGGGGTTTTTTTGGTATTTTTTTAGTATTTGATATGGGAAGGCACAGAAAATCCTTCATCTGCTTTCTGTGGAAATTCAGTTAAACTGCGTATCTCTGAATGTTTAAATGTTTATCTAAAGATTAATAGTGATTTACGTTAGCCTTCCAAAAAGGAATCGATAGCAAAAACCCCTATAAGATGTGTTAAAACCAATAGTTATTAGCATGTGCTTAAGAGTGACAGCTCTAAATATAAAAACCATTATACTATTTTCTACCTTTGTGGCACTGAGTGAAATACTTTGATTCTAAGGCCTTGAAGGTTATTCTGGGACAGAATAAGCACTCAGTGAGCAGAAACTATTTTTCTAAAAGATTAACATTCTTTGTTGGTAGCCCATTATAAATTATTACAGGCAC